TTTAATTTTAACCAATCATTTTTTTTTGATTGGAATAATCTAGAATATTCTGATCGGCAATATTTTTACCATATTAGGAAATTGATCGCCAAGATATATTTGGTAAATTCTCTGACTGTATTGGTTAAAACATTTTATTTTGATAATTTGAATTTTTATTGTTATCCTTAATCCTTTACTAACTATATATAAGCAAGTGACTATGACTAAAGAATATATATAAATCCGAGTATCAGAGAGATTTGCAAAAAGATTTTCTCCACATTCACGATTTTATTTATTATGAAGTTAGAATTTTAAGTTGGTAAGATCCTGTTATTTTCATCCAAAAATTACGTAGACCTTTGCAATAAAAGGGAATATTAAGAGTTTTCTCTTTCTATTGCATTTCAAATGGCCCATACTAAAAAGTGTATACGTAAATGTTTTTACTTTTTGCCAACAAGCTAATTGAGATTATACTTTATTTGTTACAAAAAATATCAGCAAACTGTATATGGATGGATAAGAATTTTAACATATACATATTGCGAACTAAAATACAGAATCATGATGATTAGAGAATTATCTTTTATATTATCATGATCATTTTTACAAAATCTATAAATTTCTTATTTCCAAACTTAAGGTGGCTTTATCGAAATAATACTATTGACTTTTATGTACGAAGGCTTAAATTTTTTCGATCTTAATATGAAAGAAAGTATTTTTCTCTTGCGACAATTAAATGGTACCTTGCGTTATATTAATAAATCTAAATTTTGGACTTTTATTCTTCAAAACCAAAAATAAAATAAAATAAAATAAACCTAATATGAATATTTAATAAGTTAACAAATTTATCAATAAATTAATAATCTTTTAAAGATTCATCATTTAAAAATTATTTAGTATATTAATTAAAGAATATAAAAAATAGTATATCAAAATATTCTACTTACTAATATCATCATCTGCAAAATTTGGAATTTCTATATATGTAAAAATTTAAATTAATTTAGAAATTTCTCTTAATTATAACGATAAATATTATAAATAGTATTTTAATTACCAATAATTTGACTAATTCCTATTTCATGTGATTCATTGTTTTGATCATTTTCGTAATCAAAAATCTCTTTTTCCTCTTCATTTAAAATTTCATTTGATTTAGTTAAATCAAATGATTGACTTGTATAATATGCGCGTGAATGAAATTCAATAAAAGGTGTAATATTAGCTTGTTCTTGTTTTAATGCTATA